CAGTGGCCGATTCTTTCAGAAGTGGATGGCCCCATCTTTCTTCTCGTCTGTCTTCATCTTCAAGCTCTGTTGAAACCTGGTGACCCTGCTGGCACTCAAAATACTGGTGGCGTGGCTTCCAGCCTTACAGCAACACGCAAGCCACAAGACTATGACAAACTGACAGATGAGTGATGGAGGGGCAAACTTAGTAGCCATATATGGCACAAATACATTATCAAATAGAAACAAAATTGTACAGACAGCAGAAGATAAACTGGACTACTAGTACCTTCAAAAAATAAAACTCTTCTATGTATCAAAAGACTTCTTCAAAAGAGTAAAAACAGAATGTATAGATTGGGAAATAATTTTTGGCAATGGCATATCCAATAAAGGATTTATCTCTAAATTTTATAGAAAACTTCAACATTTTAAGAACAAAAAGACAGACACTTCACTAAAGGAGATATTCAGGCAGTCTATAAAGAAGACATGAAGAAATATTGGCAATCATTAGCCATTAGAGAGCTGTAAACCAAAACAACAATGAGATGTCATCTCATCCCAGCAATAATAGCCAAGTTCAACAAGAAAGAAAACAGTACATTCTGCTCAGAATGTGGAGAGATGGAACTCTCATACACTTGTGTTGTTGTTGTTAGGTGCCATCAAGTCATCTCCACCTCATAGCAGCCCTGTTCACAGTAGAACGAAACACTTCCTGGTTCTGTGCCAGCCTCACAGTCCCTGCTATACCTGAGTGCACCTTTGTAGCCACTTTGTCAATCCATCTTTTTGAGGGCCTCCCCCTTTTTCATTGATCCTCCACTTTACTAAGCATGATATCCTCCTTTAGGGAATGGTTCCTTCTCAAAGCGTGACCAAAGTCAGTGAGTCGCTTCCAAGGGGCATTCACCTGCACTTCTTCTAGTACAGATTTGTTAGTCCTTTTAGCACTCCGTGGTACTCTTAGCATTCTTCTCCATCACCACAACTCAAAAACATCAGCTCTTCTTCGGTCTTCCTTATACATTGTCCAGCTTTCACGTGTATAAGAGGCAATTGAAAATACCATGGCTTGGGTTTTGCATACCTTAGTCTTCAAGGAGACATCTTTGCTCTTCAACACTTGAAAGAGGTCTTTTGCAGCAGATTTGCACAATGCTATACATCATCTGATGTCTTAACTGCTGCTTCCATTGGTGTTGATTGTAGAAGCAAGTACTATGAAATCCTTGACGATTTCAATCTTTTTTTCATCCATCGTGAAGCTATTTATTGGACCAGGTGTAAGGAATTTTGTTTTCTTTATATTGAGGTGTAATCCATACTGCAGATTATAGTCTAATTTTCATCAGTAACTGCTTCAAGTCATCTTCACTTTCAGCAAAATTGTGTCATCTGCATATCATGAGCTGTTAATGAGTCTTCCTTCAATCCTGATGCCACTTTCTTCTTCATATAATCCAGCTTCTCGGATTATTTGCTCAGCATACAAATTGAATAAGTATGGTGAAAGGATACTACCATGACACACTCCCTAATTAATTTTAAACCATGCAATATCCCTTTGTTCTGTTTGAATGACAGCCTCCTGATCTATGTACAGATTCCTAATGAGTACAATCAAGTGTTTTGGAGTTCCCGTTCTTCTCATTGTTATCCATAATTGGTTACGATCTACATAATTGAATGCTTTAGCATAGTCAATAAAACATAAGTAAACATCTTTCTGGTGTTCTCTGCTTTCAGCCAAGATCCATCTGACATCAGCAGTGATATCCCTCATTCCATGTCCTCTTCTGAATCCAGTTTGCCTTTCTGGAACTTCTCTGTCAATACACTGCTGCAACCATTTTTGAATTATCTTCAGTAAGATTTTACTTGCATGTGATAGTAATGATATTGTTCAATAATTTCCACATTCTGTGGGATCCCCTTTCTTTGAAATGGGTACAAATATGGATCTCTTCCAGTCAGTTGGCCAGGTAGGTGTCTTCCAAATCTCTTGGCATAGTCGAGTGAGTGCCTCCAGCAGGGCATCCCTTTGTTGAAACATCTCAATGGGTATTCCGTCAATTCCTGGAGCCTTGTTCTTTGCCACTTCCTTCAGTGCAACTTCAACTTCTTCCTTCAATGCCTTGGTTCTTGATCATATGCCACCTCCTGAAATAGATGAACATTGACCAATTCTTTTTGGTATAATGACTCTGTGTATTCCTTCTATCTTCTTTTGGTGTTTCCTACATCACGCAATATTTTCCCATAAAAGCTTTCAATATCACAACTCGATATTTAATTTTTTTTTCCCTCAGTTCTTTCAGCTTGAGAAATGCCGAGCATGTTCTTCCCTTTTGGTTTTCTAACTCCAGGTCTTTCTTTGCACATTTCTTTATAGTAATTGGCTTTGTCTTCTCAAGCTGCTCTTTGAAATCTGTTCAGCTCTTTTATCTTGTCATTTCTTCCATTTGCTTTAGCTACTCTCCACTCAGTGGCAAATTTCAGAGTCTCTTCTGACATCCATTTAGGTCTTTTCTTCATTTCTTGTCTTTTTAATGTCCTCTTGCTTTCTTCATGGATAATATTCTTTATGTCATCCCACAGTTCTTCTGGTTTTTGGTCATTGGTGTTCAGTGCATGAAATCTATTCTTTACTAGTGGAGGGATGGTAAAATGGTCCACCGACTGTGGAAAACAGCATGAACCTTGGTGAAAAGTTGGAAATAGAAATACCTTTTGATTAAGCAATCTCACTACTTGGCATATATCCGAAAGAAGTGAGAGCAGGGACACAAATAGATATATACACACCCATGTTCATTGCACCGGTATTCACAATAGCAAAGAGATGGAAACGACCTTAGTGTCTGTCAACAGAGGAATGGATAACAAAATGATGATACATAAAACATAGTGGGATACTACGGAACACTAAAGAATAATGTAAAATCTGTGAAACATCACATAACGTGAGTGAACTTGGAGGACATTATGCTGAGTGAAATAAGTCAGTCACAGAAGAACAAATATTCCATTAGTCTGTTATTGAAAAAGTCAAGGAAAAGTTTATACCTGGAAGGAAACTTTCTTTGTTGGTTACCAGGGATGGAAAGTAGGGAAGGAAAATTGCTGGATAGGTAAGAGACAAGTATTGATTTGGGTGAAGTGAAAGGCAATATACTAAAAGCGAGTGACCAACACATTAATGCTAAGGAAAAGGAAGACATGGAGAAGTGCGCAAGAGGTATAGACAACAAAGGTAAACACTTTTACATATACCATACTGCGTATGGGTAGATAAATGGTAGAAAGGCTAAATTATCAGGTATGTCTAGGCAAAAGTTAATATACCATGACATATATAAGTGTTGTTGTTGTTGTTATGTGCCATCGAGTCAGCTCCAACTCATACCAACCCCTCTTTGGGTTTTTGAGGCAGTATCACTACGGAAGTAGATTGCCCAACCTTCCTTCCGAGGAGTGGCTGGTGGGTTTGAACTGCCAGCCTTCTGGTTAGCAGTCAAGTGCCTTAGGCAGTATGCTACCAGAGCTCCTTATATAAGTGTAGCAGACAGTATTTCTACATATGTGTTTGTATGTGGTATAAGAATCTCCATATTAATAGAACTACCCAGGGGCAATGTTATGATAACTTCTTAGCTACACCCAACCACCTGAAGGAGCAAGTTGTTGGACCTGTGAGCTTGGTACCATGGTCACAGAGAACATCAAACTCAATTGGCATAACATTATGCAAAAACATTGTTCTACATCCTGCTTTGGTGAGTAGCAACTTGAGTCTTAAAAGCTTGCAAGTGGTCATCTAGATGTAACAGTTGGTCTTTCCTTGGCTGGAGCAAAAATGGGTGAAGAAAACCCAAGATGTATGGAAATAATTAGTTCAAGGCCTAGTGGACCATGTGAACCTCAGGTTACATGACCATGAGACTAGAAGAACTAGATAGTGTTCAGCTACCACTGCCAACCATTCAGAAAGGAATCAGTGTAGATCTTGGATAGAGTGGGAGAAAAATGTAGAACAAAACTCATAAAGAAAACCAGGCTTACTGGTCTGATAGAGACTGGTGAAACCCCTGAGACTATGGCTTTTAGTTACCCTTCAGGCCAGTAATTGAACTCCTGTGGCTTCCAGCCAAACAATAGACAGGAATATAAGGTGAACACTTACATCAGGTAGGTACATTCCTTATAACAATCAGTCACGGGGAATGAGAAGGACAGTATTTTCACAAGGAGAAAGCTCAGCAGGCAGGAATGCATAGGAAAGTGGGACACAGAGAAGAAGTAACTCAGGGAGCAAATTGCAAGGAAGCTGTTACATTGTGGGGAATTGTAGTCAGTGTTACGAAACAAAATGTGTATGAACTGCTGTATGGAAAGTGAATATGATTTATAAAATTTTTCACCCAATTCACAATTAAAAAAAAAATACAAAGAATCCATGAAACACCTCATAACACGGATGAACCTGGAGAATATTATGCTGAGTGAAATACATCAATCACAAAATGACAAATATTGTTTTGATTCCACAGTTATAAAAAGTCAAGGAAAAGTTTACATGTGGAAAGAAATGTTCTTTGCTGATTACCTGGGATGGAGGAGAGAAGATTACTAACTTGATAAGAACAAATGAATGAACACACTGCCATTGAGTCAGATCCAACTCCTAGGGACCCTTGCTTTAGTAGCTAAAGCAAATGGTAACTGGTAACCAGTGCAAGCTTTTGTGATCCAGCAGATGCCTGTTTGCAAGTCAAGAAGTGTTCCTATTTAAGTTGTCATAAGCCATCCATACAATTTGGAGTTACATAGGTACTTCTTCTAGTAACAAGGATAGTTTACCAGCCCACTGGGCTATCCTCCTGTTGGTTGGTTATACTGGGCCTGCTACTCTCTGCTTAGTTGTAGTTAAGTGAGCAATTCCATATGCAGTTGTGATTTTAAGTGCAGAAAAAGCATGTGATTATTCCCCTCACCTCTGTTTCTGTTTCCAGGCACACTGTCCCAGCTATCTGGTGGAAGAGTGCCCAAGGAAAGGACCAGATGTGGTATGAGGAAGCCTTGGCTTCTAATCACCCTATCATTCTGTACCTGCATGGAAACGCAGGCACCAGGTGAGGAAGGAGAGACAGCAGGAGAGAGCCAACACAGATGCATCTCCCTACACTGCATGGCTCCTTTTTGGGGTGAGGAATATTAACCCAGTCAACTAAGATCACCAAGGTCAGCATGCTCGCACAATCAGGTGATTGACCCATTGCAATGAGGGAGCATGCACTGGTGCAACTGTTGGATGTTTCAAGAACAAAGGAAAGGACAGTGTTATGGATTTTAGGGAGGATGATGGAGTTTATGTGAAATTTAACTGAAGCAGTGTTTCAATTGGCTCAACATCAGGTCTGGTCTACAAATGGACCCAGGGCCTGCTTCTTCAGGAAGTATATTGTTAGATAGATTTGGGAAGTTGTGTCCAGAAAACCCTTCTCTGAAGCTCTGTACTGGAGTTGGAATTGGGACTGCTTCTCTGTGTCAGAGCGACTTAGATCCCCCAGGTGACAGTGGGTGTGTCTGTCTTACCTTTGTAATTTCCACCAGCAAAGTGTCTGGCAGTTTATACTCTTAGGGAACAAGATTTTCCAGTGAGTAAGAAAGTAGAAGTCACTCAAAGAAGGGGTTGTCTTGGAGCATCATCACAGAGTCTGCTTACTTAAAAGAAGTTTATTGAGGGTAGAGACAGTCCATACCAGGAAAACATCCGAATTCACAGAGTGAAGATGGACACTCTACTGGACAATGAGGAAAAATACATTTTTGTACAGTTAGAGCAGGAATTAAAAAGTTATAAAGTTATAATTGGTTGAAAGGCAATCAAAGACATCAATGGGGGGATATCTAAAAGTGGGAATTTAGCAGGGATAGATGTAACACATAAATGAGATTACATGATCGATTAAGGGTGCATGCAAGCCTATGTGCTCTTCAGTTTGTTACAGGATGGTCACAGGACAATTTATTTGGGTAACCTACTATAAAATTTGTTTTCTCAATCCTGTCTGTTTCTGGGGTTCCATTTTAAAGATTTATCAATAAAGGTATGCATCAAGACCCTTCAGGTGTAAGCTGTCATGTCTTGCATCTGTTTGACCATAGTGGAAAGACCCTCTGGGAATAAATTGTGATATTCTGTAACTGCCAGGTTTCAGAGAAAAGAAGTGTCTCCTTTAAGGTATATGGTCAGCGTCAAGATTAGAACTGCTATTAAAAAGGCAGCTTTAAAATTCAACATGGATTCTATTCTAGACTCATGTCAGGACTTTAAAATGCAGCTGAGTCTTATTTAGGCACAATAAAAACAAAACCCAAAGATACTGCCATCGAGTCAGTTTCAACTCACAGCAAACCCCCATTGGGTTTTGAAAGTTGTAAATCTTTATAGAAGCAGACTGCCTCATTTTTCTTCTGTGGAATAGCTGTGAGTTTGAACCACGGACCTTTTTGGTTAGCAGCCAAATACCTTAACCAATTTGCCACCAGAGCACCTTAACACACCAAGTACCTCTGATTTTAAGCTCTAATACAGGGTTGTCATGCCACTTTATAGCTGCATTTATCTTAGGGGAAGTGTCGTCTTTGATGAACTTTACAGCTGACTGTATCAGGTCTGTCACTGCAGACTGATGAACGCAAGGCACATTTTCACTTTCTTATGATGTGGCTGGCAGCTCTAGCAACATTTAACAGTATGATGGCTCCAGTGTGCAGATAGGTGAAACCTGAGCCATTGTAGTCCAGCAACTTTCTAGAAAAAAGACCACAAAGCAATAAGAAGGGAGCAGTGGAGATCTCAAAGAAAGGGGAGATGCAGGCAGAGGGAGACCAGTGAAGATACCCCAGGTGAGCACTCATAACAAGTTAATCCTTTTAGACTACACCTCTCGCCCTGTGGTCAGGGTTACCTTTATGAATTCCCTGTCCTGGACAATAAAACATCATTGTGTACTTGTGGACTATTTATGGCATATAAAGTCTGCCTGGTTTTATTCCAGAAGTTTTTCATGAATGGGTTTAATGGCACCTCCTTCAAACTGGCTGGAATTTGAGTGAATATCCCTCCTTTAAGATATTACACCATGTGTGAATGTCTAGGGATCTGGGAAGAGGAAGAGCAGGAGCTGAGGTGGAGGAGGTACATTTTCAGACCAAAGCCTTGCTTGTAAAACACCTTAGGTCACTGGTGCTATGGCTTTTTATAGTTGCACATGAGAGCCCACAAGGAGCCATCATGGTGCAGGGCCATCACAGGGCATGGTCTGTTTCTGTGGTGCCTTGGGCCAGGTTGGCAGGCAAGGGAGGGCTCATTTCATAGTGACAATCAGTCAAAGGAACTATGCCTGGGCCTTCTTGGAGGGGAGCAGTATAGGGTATAACTGGTGGAGAGGGCATTACTGAAAGCCCAGAAACAACCTGCAGGGCAAGGGCAGAGTCAGTGCCTGTGCTCAGGCAATGGTACTAAGGGCAGACTATGAGTGTACTTCCCAGGTTGCTTTCATCTTTGTTTGGAAGAAGCTGCAGCAGATTATTTGGTTACAACAGCTATTGTAACATGTGACTATTGTTAAAAGTAATAAAAACTCAGACTTCCAGTAAGATGGTGGAATAGGCAGACAATCTACCCAGACACTCTTCAACAAAGAAAAGGGAAACCAGTTGACACAGATTCAGAAGATAATCCTGGAGCACTAAACTTTGGAAGGAAGGATACAGAAGTAGATTAAATATCAACTAGTAGAATAACCTGAATGAAAACAGTAAATAAAGAGACAAATGGAGCTGCCAACTGTCAGCTATACTGATGGCACTGACAGTTTGAATATTTCCAAGTGGTGTTAGGAACTGAGAATTAAGCTAAAAATTGGCCCTGGTCTCCACAGGCTGCTAGAAGACTGAAGTGCCTGGCTGATGACTAAAAAGGAAAACAGCAAAGAAGGAGACAAACTAAGCTGTGAACTTTTGGCTGTCTGGAGGGCACAGCCATTTTTAATGTTTACAAGTGTTGCAGCCGCTTTGGATATTTACGGCAACAGAGTTCTTGTTCAGATTCCAGGCACCTAAGAATAGGCTCCACTTGCTGAGGATAGCATGGATATACTGGAGGCTGATGACTAGAAAGATGGGAATTCTGCTTGTTACTCTTATACCCCACATCCTCTTGGTAAAAAAAAAAAAAAAAAAAAAAAGGTGTGGCCATCCCTCACCTCCACTCACTTTTAGGGCTTGCAGGAACCCATCCCAGTCTGTGTGCTCTGATGAAGCCTGGGTGCCCTGCCCCATACCCCACCCTCCAGATTTTTTTTTTGTTGTTGTTGTTTTGCTTTGTTGTTTTTAAATTATTTTTTTTCTTCCTTTTTATTTTTATTCTTCCTTTTTCTCTTCCCAGGTTTTAGTTTTTGGCATAATTTTCCCTTTTCTTGGTTTCCATTTTCTTTCTTGTGGTTCTTTCCATCCCTTGTTTTTCTTTTTGCTTCCGCCCCCCCCCCTTTTTATCCCATTATTCTCTTAAACTTGCGCTTTTTATTTTTTATTCTCCCTTTCCCAGATACTGTGGAGTTTTCTTTTTTCTTTTTCTGTTTCTATTTCTTTTGTCTTTAAAAAGTATTTTTTAAAATATTTCATTTCATTTATTGTCTTTCCTCTTTTTTGTTGTTGTTGCTTCTTTTTTTGTTCCTGTGTTTTTCTGCATTTTTTTATTTTTGCCTTTCTGTTTTTACTTTTTTGGTGGTATATTTGATTCTTTTGTTTGACTGAGTGGGAGACAGGAACTATGCCCATATGACCAAACCATACCCACACTTCTTCCAGTCCTACCTACTGAGTGAGGTCCACCATTTGCTTCTGCACCAACTGGTCAACAATACAAGATAGCCAATATGAGCCTGAATCACATTTAACTGCTGTTCACAAATAGCTAATGGATATCTGTGCACCCACTCTCATTCTTTATCACACTCACCAGGAGACAGATGGTGAGTGCATAAGTACTGCCAGCTAGCAAGTAGAGGAGCACAATACTGTGCTTACTTAGATACATACAAGCAAAACAAAGAAAATTAAAATCTTGGGTGAATCACCCCAATATGCGATCACCAATTAAATATAAACACAATAACGTCAAAATGTCTCAGAAACAACAGAGCATCAGAATCCACACAAAGAAGCAAGATAAAGTGGTAGAAACAATGGACCAGGATGCAGACCCAGAACATATCCCTGAGGAAGAAGAAGCATTAGAACTCCCTGATAAAGAATTCAAAAGAATTATATTTAGGTACCCTCAGCAGATTGAAATCAATGGAAACACTGATAAAATTAAGAAAGATACAGACAGAACCCTAGAGTAATTTCAGAAGACAAGAACAATATGACAAAATAAGTGAAAATTTAGAAATGATACAAAATCTACACATAGAAATCCAGAAGATTAATACTAAATTTTCAGAAATGGATAACACATTAAAAGGGCAAAGGAGTAGAATTGAATCAATGGAACACAGAATTAGTGAGATTGAAGACAAACACCTCAGTACTTTTTTAGAATGGCATCAATCAGAAAAAGATCAAAACAAAATGAAGAAAGCCTAAGATTCATGTGCTATACCCTCAAGAGGAATAACCTGCATGTAATTGGAATTACAGTACAGGAATAGACAAATAAAAGCACAGGAAAAATACTCAAAGATTTCTTGGAAGAGAATTTCCCTGATATGATGAAAGATGAGAATATATTCATTCAGGAAGTCCAGTGAACCCCAAATAGGATAAACCCCAAAAGAAAATCACCAAGACATATCATCATCAAACTCACCAAAACCAAAGCCAAAGCAAGAATCCTGAAAGCAGCACAGGGAAAATGACGTTACCTCTGAAGGGCAACCAATAAGACTAAGCTCTGATTTCTTGGCAGAAACCATGCAGACAAAAGACAAAGGGATGGTATATATAAAACCCTGAAAGAAAAACATTTTCAATCAATAATTATATAACCAGCAAAACTGTCCCTCAAATATGATAGTGAAATTAGGACATTTCCAGATAAGCAAAAGGTAAGGGAATTGGT